CTGGGGCTGGGGCTGGGGCTGGGGCCAGGCAGGGAGTGGAGGTGAGCTAGGCCCAGGTAGACCCCGGGTGCCAAAAAGTGATCTTCACCATAAAAAGGTTGGAGAACACTGTTTTAAAGGATCATATTCATTAACATAACAAGGTTAAATGAGAGCAGTTTTTCTACCTGGTATTTAGCTTGGGTTGTAACTGCTTCTTTCCCAGATCTGAGAAAAAGGTTTATGTAACTTCTCTTTTAGCCACACAGCTGGTCCAATAAAAGATATTATCTCACCCTAGAAATCTAGCATCTTACATATTCCCTGGACCATCACAGCTACAGCAACAACACTGCTACTAGATTTTAATGTCTAGCACAAAAAAATCATTCTTCAGATGTGGGATACTTTTTGCTAACTATAAAGGACAAGGCTGCTCTTAGTGGACAGGATAATAATAGTATCAGGCACAGAGATAGTGGCTATGAGATATCCAACAGTGAATGGGGGCTGAGAGCTACAAGCAGAGCTGTCCCTAGGGGTGTGCAGGTCCTGGGACATATCTGCCTGTGCGGTGCCTGGGGGGTGTGGCAAGCAGCCACAGCTGGCAGCAGTGGCAGAGCCAGCAGCTCTCAGCAGTGGCAGCACATGGCAGCCGTGGCGGGGCCTATACAGCACTGACCACAAGGCCCCCCGAAGTGTGGGGCCCGGGGCAGTCACCCCAGTTCGCCCTCCCTTAGGGACAGCCCTGGCTACAAGAAACTGAGGAAGAATTTTCCTTAGTGCAAGAGCAGCAGAGTTAATAGTCTTACCATACTTCATTTTACAGTCTCCAGCACAGGGGCAAGGCTATGGACAGACCAGGGACATTCCCTTAAAACTCAGCACTACAGGAATTCCATAGTATGTCATGGTGCAGTATCAGCATATACTGACAGCATGTCAATATGTTGTCCCAAAGGGGGACATCCTCCAGGAATGCTGTAACTTATGCAAATATCAGTTTTAGCCATTTTGAGCCCCCTATCTCCTCCTTTCTTCTGGCCTCTACAGAAGCACAGCACAGAACCTGCCCTGTGTCTTTAATCTTTACATTGGCATCATGGACAGCTTGTGTATACATGTCCTATGACAGCCCTAGAAATTCTTTACATTGAGAAGGACAGTTAAGAAAAGTGGTGAAAAAACTGAAGCTTGGCTTAAGGACCCTGATCCACCTCTCCCACTGAAATGACCAGCAAAATAACTTCAGATATAGCTGGGGTGTGTTCCCTGTTGCTGAACAAACAGAAAGGATTTGCTTATCCTGTGATATGCAAATTAAGGATGTGACACTCCATGTTGCACTGCACCAGAAGTGAACAAATCATTGTTCTTGTTCCTGTTATTACAATTATCATTTATCACTTCCCAGATCTGGAGATACTTATGCTCACCTTTAGAGAGAACTATGTGATAAGGTATACTTATTCTTCTACCTTAAGCTCAATGCCATGAAACTGATGTTGGAATCGTTGAAATATTGGAAATGTCATGTTCATTTTAGCCTTGTAACTTTCCCGTACAGAAAATATACAGTAAATGTAGTCAATAACCTTTTTTCCAGGCCCAAAATCTAAATCCTGGAGCATACACCTAACTTTGAGCAGGAGTAATTCCACTGATTTCAGTAAAACTATCATGTTTGAAGTTAGACATGTATTTAAGCATCTAGATGAATTGGGGCCCCAAGCTACAATAATTAGTAACTTACAGCAAAATGCATCATACTATTCCATATAACTGTATCAGAATATTGTACTTATGAGATTTCAAAGTACTTCTAGTAAAACATCTATTAAATATAGCCTTGGGTTGTGGTATATATTTGTAAATAAAACTGATAGGTTAGAGTCTATCTGTTATCTGTTAGCCATGATGGCACATAATTCCCCATAAATCAGTGGGAATTTTGCAGATGTTGTGACTACAGAATTTACCCTCTACATTTTTACTTTATTTATCAGTTGCATGTACTGTAAGGGCTCAGTCATATGTTCCTTGTACACCAAAAGCTCCCATAGATCTCTAGAAACACTGGATGCTAAAAAAAAACAGAGAAACAGGCTCTTGGTCTGTAAAATTAAGTGGGCATGTTTGATTACAGCAGATTTTTTTTCCTCCTCCCTGAATTCATGACAGGAAGGAAGATGTTTATAATACAGTGTCTCACTGATTTAAAGCTATCATAATTCAGTCCCAATAAACCATGTTATAAAATTATCATATTTTCTCACATACAACCTACACCTTCTTCTCCCCCCCCCAAAAAAATGGGGAAAATTGAGGTGCATATTATGTGCAAGCAAAAGAGAGCCTTAGAGATCCAGAAATTTGGCTGGGGAGTGGGAAAGGAGTGGTGGGAGCATTCATTGCTGTAGCTCTGAGTACCAAGGTAATTAACACTGCCACTGCTCCCCACCCCACATCACCAGATTTCCAGAGCCATGGCGAGCCACTCTCCCCATCCACATACCAAATTCAGCCTGTGCACAGGGCTGGTCCATGTCCAAAGCCAGTGCACCAAGTACAACCTATCATACAGCTCTGGGCCTGGTATTCTAGACGGTGCCTCGCACGCTGGTTATGAAGCCATGCTGGGTTGGAGTTGGCATGCTGAGTCTGGGACCATGCACTGGCTCTTGGACCATGTTCTAGGTTGGACCTAGCATGTGGCTCCAGAGCCAGGGTATGGTCGGCATTCAGCCCCAGAGACAGCGTGCAGGGTTGGACATGGCACAGGTCTATGCAGTCCCAAACTGGCTATGCCCTCAGGCTGTGCAGTCCCAGACCTGCCACATGGATTCAAACCCATTGTGTCAGATCAGGCCTGTCACACAGTCCCAGACCTACCATGTGGGGTCAGACCTGGTACATAGCCCCAAACCCACCATGCTGGATTGGTCCATGAGCCCCATCCAGCACCCGGGGCTGGCAGCAGGCTCAGGTCCCTAGACCCTTTTTACTACATATTACCTTTTAAAAAACAGCGTGTATGTTATATTCAAGAATAGGTTATACATAAGAAAATATGTTACAATGCTCAGAAGGCGATAGCTGTGACAGTGATCCCTGGATTCATAAAATCCTTTCTAGAACTAATCCAAGTCAATGGAAGTGAGTGGGACTCTTTCCACTGGACTTTGGAAAAAGCTTTGTGTGCTTGATTTTCAGTATGGAGTGTGCCTAGAAAACAAATCTGGTGTCCTTAAAGGCTCTTGAGCTAACCCACCATTCCAAAGGCTAAGGTCTTGCAATGAGCTCTGCATAGGCATATCCTTGCATCTGAGCAAAGCCTTGTGGATTTCAGTAGGGCTGTATGCAAGTCTATTGCAGGAGTGTGGCCTGTCAGGAAATGTGGGAATATCCTTTTGGCCTGTAAACATTTTTAGCCTCCACCACCCACCCTCAAACACACACAAATTATCTCTGAAGTATCTGCTTATTTGTCTATATACAATATCACTAGTCATTCTTGGACCTGTTGCTGGTGATGCTGGTGTGCAGACAGAGCAGAGCAGAGCAGTCACATTCACTTAAACCCTGAAAGAAAACAAAGTGCTTGCAAATAAAGAAAAGCAAAATTGCGAAGTGTGAGATGGAGATTTTCACATTCCTAGACAGGTATGGAGGTAACAAAAACGCCAACAGAAATATTTAATGTCTTCTTCAGTGAATGGGTCCGTGTCCTGATATCAGGAAGAGTTTTGCCTGGGAAAAGACTGGCCCTCTGGATTTTTGTGTGTCAGTTTCTTGTTTCAGCTATGTCAAGCAGCTGGGCATATTATCTACTGATTTCTCTAATTGAGACCAATAGTCCCGCTGTTCATGAGGTGTAATGAAGTGGCAAGTCACAAAGCCACAAAGTGAGAACTCAAGCTTGATTGGAAAGAATGTCTGTTTTGAATTAAGTTCCTCCAGTTTGATTTGTAGTTTGGCTAGGCACAGTCCTATGTAAACATCCTCTAGTTTAAGAAAGGGAACGCTTCCTGAAATATTAAGAACCTGACTAGCAACATCAGTAGAAAAAACATAACCAGTCCCAGAACAAAATGGAGGATAAGTGCTTCCAGGATATTCGTATTTACTCACATACCACTTACTAAACACCTGTCGTATTGGGCGCTCATTCATTTTTAAAAACCCTGTAAAGAAGCTAGAGCTTTTGTTTTTTCTCAAAAGAAGTTCAGTCAAGTAAAAGACATTGACAAATACATCTGTATCAGTTTTCATAACAAAACTGGACTGCTGACAGAATTTGTGAACCCATTCCATTCCCATCATTGTTTTCAAAGTCAAATTATAATATGTATCTATGAAACCCTTCTGGATAATGTCTTTGTATGCCTGGCTTTCAACGAGAACATCAGTTTGCTCATCTTGATGCTCAGTGGTTCCAAGGAGGAAAAATGTTATAATTCGTTTCCCAGCGATTAGTCTCTCCTTCCCCCATGTTTGACGGATAGCCAACCTAGCTTCTTTCTGGTCACATGATGATGTCACAAGTAGTACTAGGAATGGAGGATTCTTACTGCAGTCTATATCTGGCAGCTGCAGGAACTGTTCAGTGTCTTTTTTAAAATGAGTCAGTGATAAAACCACTTCCCCCTTTGGACACAGTATGCAGATATCACTCCAGTTGAGGGTGATGTAAAAACAGAGACACAAAAAAGATGCAACTGCTATAAGGCAAATAAATATTCTGGATACCTTGAAAGCCATCTGAAAGAAACAAGAGCAAACAATACATTATAAAAATAAAATTTAGAGCCTTTCACTTTTGTACACCAAAATACATGCTGTTGTTTAGGGATTAAGGGCCATATATAAAGTATAGTACCCATATATGGCAATCGCACACATAAGGAAACTAAAAACACTGCAGAATTGTCCAAACACATTTTCCCCAGCATCATTCCCTCAGCAGGGGAGGG